GATGGTGGCGGGGGCCATTCCGATTTGCCACTTTCTATTCCGAATTTACCCATGACTACTTAGGTTAATTTCGAAATTAACCTTTATTTGTGCTAATACCATTTTGCCCCTACATTTGCACTTACGCTCACAATGGGCTCCAGATAATTGAACAACCTGAAAAATCTTGGCCCATCCGTAAATTTTGCCTTGAGTGTACGGGGTTAAGCAGCTTAGGGCCATGGCAGTCTGTCTTGGCCCAGCTTACACCGAGCCAAGACAAAGTTGGGCCACCTAGCCAAAAGCTAGACTTGGCCAAGGTTGGGCCACCTAACCAAAGGCTAGACTTGGCAGAGGTCCCTTTAACCAGGGCCTAAGTCTGGGCATGGGCTCTAAGAACCTAAGCCCCTTTGGATGGACCTCTAGGAACCTAGAACCCCCGGTCTATAACTGGCCAAGGTTCCTTGAGCCTGATCCTCAATGGGGCCTTTAGGAACCTGGGCCCACCCTGAATATACACTTGTCATGGACTACTAATATTTTGGTAGTTTAGAGGGGTCATTTTCGCATCATTTAATTTGGCTTTCCAACCACCTCTTTATTTCGTAAATAGACAAAAAGGCGGAGCCAGCAAAGGCTTGGACGTAACGAAAGCTCATAACCATCAACAAGCTTGCCGCATCTTACACTACAATGACATGAACGTCCCAACCTTCCCCAAATTGCCAATATTTTTTTATCTTAAAAATGACAAAACACAAAATGCCAATAAAGCTTGTTTTACATGATAATTTTACCTGTGGAATTGCAGACCATGGAGTTGAAAGAGGGCAGGCCCGATCGGTTATTTTTGTAATAATTCATCCAAAAATGCAATTAACCCCTCGAGAACTCTGACTCGGGCTCTAGCTGACTTGTCTATAGGGAAGCTAATGACTTGGCAGATGCATTAGCAAAAAAGCTAGCGATCTTTGATGTTCTTACCGTGTTACTCTGACCTGATTTTTGTAATGCTCTGATTGATTAATAAAAGTTTGGAATATCGTCAAAAGAAAGAAAAAAAAAAAAAAGTTCAGACCGGAGCTCTAGCTTATAGGGCCTTAAGCCTAAGTCCCCAGGTCCTACTGTAGTGAGTCCGAGTTAGATTGGCGATTTTTAGTAAATTAAAATTGAAGAAGCAAGAAATTCAAGAGGCTTAGGTGATTGATGAGCTTTTCTGCCAAAATCGTCGGGCTCCAACGCTGGTCCAACCCGGATGAGGCTTGTGTCGTACAGGTGAATTCCTGAACACTCTGTTAAACAAGATAGCAGAAAAACACGGGGTTGATAGTTAAAAAAAAAAAAGAAATAAAAATATAACATCCACATGATCTGGATTGGAAGTGCACCCTCCTTATGATTTAGACTGTAGAGTTTACACTGAAGGGAAAGAAATAGATGATTAGGATTGTATGTAATTTTTAATTTTTAATTTTTTTTTTGTAAAATTTGGATCGATTTAGAGCCTTGGTTGTCCAAAACTCTCAATCAAGTTTACATAAAAACAACATAAAAATAAATTTATAAAAAATCAATTGATCAAAATATTTTAGTCAATTTATTTTTTTAAAAAAATTAATATATTTTTAAAAGCGCACAAGTGTGGTGCAAACGCATCTAAAATTTCACGTATATCCAATTAGCAAAAAAAAAAAAGCTAAAATTAAAATACCAGATTAAATCACGACCATCTAAATATTTCCCTTACAATTTGAAACAATTAAAAGGTGTTTCTGCACCATTTGATTGTCCACATGGTGTGGATGCTATGCTTTCCTAAAAAACACAGAGGCTTAGCATCCAAGAATTTCATCGTCCACATGATGTGGATGTTTTACTCTCCAGATAAATAAATGGGCTTATTGTATGGCATAGATGCAAGCAACAAGAGTGTGTATAATACAATCCATGATTACTTCAAAATTGTTTAAGCTTTTAGATTGTTTGATAAGCGTTTAAGACACCCCTAGCTTGATTGTCTGTCAATAACATCCCACCCTTCATTCCCACCGTTAACATATCAAAAAAAAAAAAAAAATTGTGCATAAAATACTGCAAAAACTTGAGGGGGAAGGTGTTTTGTAAAGCTGCAGCTCTATAAAACCGTACCACAATTATCTCCACCACAATGGCAATAGATCATAACAAATAATAATTAAAAAAATCTAAGTGTTAAAATAATTCCATATTGCAGCATTTTCTCGGGACCATCCATTTCAAATTTTATATATCCACGAGATCTTTATCATTTTCGAACTTCAAATGCCATAGTCAAGAACAGAAATATATTGTTGGCATCATGAGTTTATCTCTCACCTAAACTGCATTTCCTTGATATGGTTTTAAGATGCAGCTTTACCAAATTTTGTAAAATTATATTTCCAAGCATCATGAGATTATCCGTTAGATGAACCACATTTTCCAACAGGGCTTTAAGATGCGGCTTTACCAAATTCCATAAAATTACAACCTTACTAAAATGACCCACAAAGTTCACTTAGGTCATTTATATATTTTCAATATTTTCATGTGGTCATGTACTGTGCACCTTCACCATATATGTTGATTTAACCAGTCGGTTTAATTGGTTTTAACAAACTATACTATAATCGGCTCCACATATATTGAATCCACATCTATAATGGATACATGCATGTGCATGCATTTGGTAAGACATGGTATGTGGCCTCTAAAATTCATTTATAGCAAACATTTCGACCATTTACTCAAATATTTGTGAAGTTAGGTTTTGGCTTCTAATGAGGTGGAAAAGAGAGAAGGCATGATCCGTCCAGCATCATGAAATCCCTAGAAATGACAAGTGGGACATAGTCCCTCATTTAAATCATAAATACTGTTTAATATTTGGACTTACTCATTAACCTCCTGCCTTCATGGGCCCAGTTCATTTAGCTTGGTGGCTATCGTCGATCTGGATTAGGAATTTGATTGGGGTTAATGAATAATTGACTTCTTTTTTTTTTATTGAATATGTGAATAAGAAGTAGGCAAGTTTGTCGAGGAATAAAGTGATCCCGATCTGCCGATTCACCCGGTTCCCATCTAATTAACCTTTTTTATTTTTTACTTTTCATTTTTCTCAAAAGTACAGAAATATTATTTATATATTCTTCAGCCAATAGAAAAATGGCCCATTCAGGTTGAGAGCGCTGCCTGAATCGGCTAGTTCTCCCGATCAATATGAACTATTAGACATTGGTTTTACCAAATTGATTATTCTAGCCATCTCATATATTTGATAACTATATTTAAGTTATCCAATTTTTCCTCTAAAGAGGAAACTATATAAAATAGGGGTGACAATGGGCCGGGAGGCATTACCTGTCCCCAAAAAACTAGGGCATAGGACACAGAATGTGGCCCAAGGTGCCTCCGCTTGGGTCTAGGCCAAGGTCATGAAGGGGCCGACCCAGTTCAGCCTAGCAGCTCTCGTTTGCTCTTTCTATTTTTTTTGTTGTATTTGGCATGGCCACACCTCAACAGAGTTAGGCCCTCCTTGACTTGGCCACCCCTAGAGGACTAGAGCTGCACTAGGGAGGGCTTTGCCAGTCGAGGGCAGGCCCATTGCTAGACCTAGTTTTTATTTTTGTACAAGGAGGGCATAATTGCCCTTAGTCATTAGATGTGAAGTTAAGCAGCCAAAAGTGTAACAAATTAACCAGACTTAAAATTCATTAATTTTGTTTAATCATATATCGTGAAGTACCTATGGCATCTAATTTCATGTTTAACGATTAGGAGTGATTGTGACCCTTCCTTTGCGGCCTAATGTACCCTTGATCTGATAACATATATTTAATTATGAAATCTATAATGTCGGGAGTAAATAAATAGGGGTGCCTATACATGAAGAATAAAAAAAACAAATTAGTAAATATGAACGTGTCTTAGCTGCTTTTATACTCCATGGAATTTTGGTTGTTTTATTAAAGGGTGTGGTTTGCATAAGGTTGCAACCTTAAACAATCCAATTAACGTGCATGCTCAAACTTTGCCGTGAGATGCAATTAGAAAAGGGAAAAGTTTATATAGAGCTGAGGCTCTAAACAATCAAATTTGAGCCTAATTCAAAATTTTTATTAGAGGAGGCTGTTTTGATGCCCTAACATCTTCAAATTGATCATTGCGACATCAAGATGCATGAACTTGTAAAAAAAATGAATTTCAAGTTTTGGAAATAGTGTATTTTGTAACACAATTTTAGACCGTTAATTTTCAAGATTTTTAAGTTTTCATAGATCTGTTGATCTACACTATTTTTTAAGCTTTAAACTTTATAAATAAATATGAAAATATATTTTAAGGTTATCACAAAGATTTCCTGTAGTGAAACCACATTTCTCGAGACGATTTGAAGGTGGGCTTTAATTTGATTGTTTAGAGCCTAGGCTCTATACAAACCGCACCCTTTAGAAAAGTCCTAGAATGGTGTGGAATCTATTTCCATTTTTAAGTATACTTTTAAACTAAAAAAATGGTTCAAATCAAGCAGATCTATAAATGCATGACAATGTTAAAAATATATGGTGCAGACAATATGTTGCAAGATACAATATTTTTTAGATTCAAATTTTTTTTTTTTTTTTTTTCATATTCATACATCTCGATGTCAATATGATCAATTAGAGAGTTTTCCAACTTCAAAACAGCCTTTTACGATGGATTACTTAGCTACACCTTAATTCTATATTTTAAAGTTGCAACCCTATAAGAACCTTTTCCTTTATTAAAACATTGCAGTATTTTTAGTTTTTAAAATTTAAACAGCTACTTGGTGCAGGGATCAGTTGTTTGTTTTTGTTCTTGGCTCAGTGGGGTCATTTTGTCAAACACAGGGGCATTTTAATTACTATGAGATTGAATGAAACCTTAGTTCCCGAGTCCTTGTTCTTTACCACCCGTGATTCTTCACGAACCACTCCTCTCTCACTCTCTCCATTCCTATAAAAGTGAAATCCTCTCTCTCTTTCTCTGTTTTCTCTCTCTTTCTCCCTGTTTTTTTGTTCTTTATCTATCTCTCTCTGTTTTCTCTCTCTTTCTTCTTTTTATTTTTCTTTATCGTGAAGATCATATCCACTCTGTGTACCCATTTGCTTGGGTATTTCCAGGATTCTTTTTGAGAAATTTCTGAGAAACTCTGAGTCATATCATGGAAGTTGCAGGTACCATCCCAAGTTTTTCTTTTTTGTAATTTTTGGGTTTTAATCCCTCTCTTCATGCAAATTTCAATCATCTCTTGAATCATGCATTTCTTTCTCTTGTCAATGAGAATTTCTGAGAACTTTTATTGAAGGTATTCTTATTACTATTTTCATTTTAGTACTTTTCCATTATTTTTACAATGTTTATCTTTTGGGGTTCTTCATTTTTTTTTGGATATTTATTTGTTCTTTTGATTCAGAGCTGAGTATGCGAAGGAATTTTTAGCAAATATGATGTGGATAAGCTTCTGAAATAATTATTTTACATATTTTCTCAAAGAAAGTATCATGATTTTCCTGCACAATTTCAGTTTCTTTTAGAATATTTTATTTTATTTTGTTATCAGAGACTCCTTCCATTTTATTTTATTTATTTTATTTATTTTTTATGTTTATTTATCATTTAATTCTAATATTGAGTATTTGGAGTGCTTTCCTTCTAAGGTTCTGGGTCTTTTCCTTGAGAATAAACATTTTATGTACTTCGTTTTTTGATGATTTCTTTGGAAATAGCTCAAATTTTCGATCCAAACAATGAATTTTGCAGGTTTTCTCTTTTTAATATTTATCGTGAAGGATTTTTGTGAAGTTTTTTGCATTTTCTCATTATTTCTTACATACAAATATATAAACTGATAAATTTATAGTTCTATCCAAAATTCCAAATCTTTTTATTCGAACGGTGCTTGTTTTTTTGGAGTTTTTTTCTGATTAAATATGTTTACTAGATTAAATTTCAGAACTGTTATCAATGGAAAGGAAAAGCCAAACATACGCCAAACTCTTGTTCCTTTTAAGTTCAGTTATCTTGTTTGAAATTTCATCCATCTCTTTTCTTTTACTATTTAAAAAATATTAAAGAGTAAAATTAAAAAGATGGATTTTCAATTAAATACCCCATGAATTTTCGCTCAAAAATTTGTATTTTGTGGCAGCAGCTGCAATTTACAAAAATGAATGGGAAGTTTTAAATTTGGTAACAAATGGTGTTTAGGAATATTAAATTATGTCTTCTTTTCTCTCTTTTTGGAAATTTCAAATAATGCAGTCAATATTTCTTTCTTTTTACGCAGGCTTTTATGTCGGCATGGTTCAAGCAGTTTCATGCCAGGCCATGTAAACTTGGAAATTACAAGGTATCAATATTTCAAAGTAAAAATTCCAATTTTTAGTATTATGTTCATTCCATAGTCCAATGGATTATGTAAATATGTTGTCCATTTGTGGCATCACCGATCGATGAAGCAATCGACGGTGTCAAGAAAGTGGAACTCCAGACATGACTTAAAAGTGGATCTCACTCCCTTTATTCAACTGTCATGGACAATATAATGACATGGTCCACAGGGCTATGGTATACTTTCTCATAGAATTAATCATCATCCGAGCCTTATTCTAATTATTCTAGAAATTTCTTAAGTCATATGTGACTTTAAAAGTCATAAAAATTTATCGAACTATGTCTAAGTTAATTTATCGAAATATGTCTAAGTTATCAACTATTTATCATTTTGCTTCTTTCAACTGTTTACATTTGATAGGTATTTTGACGATAAATCCAAAATTGGGTGAGATATTGCTTAAGCATACTTTTGATAAATTTCTTTAAAATTTATTTCAAAGTTTTTTTCATAAGAGATTATTTTGAAGCTTTGGCGTATTGGAATTTATGGAGTTTTAAATGGGCTTATTTTAGGGTTTCAAAGCAATAAACTAAGGGCGTTTAGCTACCAATATTCTATAAATCTTCATTATGGGTATTATTGTTCTAAATATTTTAAAATACTTTTGTTAAGGTATATTTGGATAATTTATTTGGAAGGATGAGATGTTCTTAGTTGGCCATTATTGGGTGACATCAGCCATGGAGGCACATTAAATTTTGTCTCCATCTAAATAAAGCACCCCACCCACGTAATTAATTTCAAGTTTACCATTAACCCTACTTCACCTTTTAAAAAAAAAGAAAAAAGAAAGAAGGGATAAAGAAAGAAAGAAAGAAAGAAAGAAATCCCAAGTCATGGAATGAAAAAGCTGCCTATACTCTATTTATGAAATAAAGTGAAGATAATAAAGCAAAAAGAAAGTTAACATACAAATAAATAAAAAAAGTAAAGCAAAGAAAAGTTATGGGCAATTATCATTGGATTGGTGATATGGATCATTATAAATTGGCGATCCAAAAAAATTTAAAAATAAATAAAAGAAAATAAAAATCAAGGGTTTATAGGGATAGAGATTTAAGGGGACTTTAAAAATTATTAAATAAATTTAATAATAATAATAATAACAATAGGGTTTTAGAAAGGAACCAAACTGGGACTGATATCATCCCAGTTGGTTTTGTCCCAAACAATTTCCATCCAGATCGGTTCGAAACTGGGGGGTTTTAAAACACTAAAGCAAAACTAAATGCAATACCAACCCTAGCATCGTTTCACATCCCACCCCACTCCTTTATATGGTACAAATTTATAATGTAAGTTAATAGTAGGTAGTCATTATTAGTATTTTAAAATCGCAGACTCATATTAGAACAGGAGCCCGATCAATTATGGGTCAAGTCTGAAAAGGGTCTCCCTTGTTTCATACTTCATTCATTTATTGTTAAAAATTGCATTCTCCATCTTGAACTCGCTTGAACAATCTCAATGAGGCACACCTCTACATCTTGTAAAAAACGCACTTTTTGGTGCCGAAAACATTCATGATGCTATGAAAATCTATTTACACTCCTAATAATAAAATTTAGAGGTCCCAAGGAATAAATCGAGCAGATATATAGACACTTGAAAATGTTAAAGATAGACAACTTAGATAAAGTGATGCAATAAACATCATTTTGGACGTTATGATTTTACCATTTATATATCTCGAGGTCAAGATGTTCTATTTGAGGGCTTGCATCATGAGAATAACCTTTTCTAGTGGGTTTCTCATATGCACCTTACTTTTATAGCATGAAGTTGACATCTTCTATAAACTTTTTCCTAGTTTGAGATTTCTTACCTATAAATTTAATTCCGACTCCAAATTATAGGCTGTCATCCAAAAAACCCAACTTTTTGGAAAATAACACAAAATTCTATGATCTTAATTTTTTCAACAAAACTCCTACATGTTTTCTATGTTTTTTAACCAAATTATCCCTCACACATATTACGTTTGAAGCAGCAGAAAAAAATTTGTAAAGCACAAAAACAATTCCTAAAAAACATCAAGATGCTTTCGTTTTAACTCTATGACAACTTATCAGCAATATTTCAATGGAAACCTATAAATATTAACAAGAGGAAATATTATTCTGAACTTCTCATAAGGAAAATGCAGATCTCTATAAATATTTTTATTTCTATTCTTTTTTAAATAGCAAAAAAAAATTTATTTAGGATATGACCCAGTTGAAGAGAGAGAGTGCCAATGCTTTTAGATATTTTTCTATCTTTCAAAGTTTTTATTAGATAATTTGTGTGTGAGAGGGTACTTTAGTTTAAGTATATTTTATAGGGAAAGGGTTCTATACTTCTCCGACAGCATACAAGATCTATGCTTCCCCTACTATCCAACCGTCTAATTTTGATCAAGAGTGCCACTCACCGTTTGATCTTAGATCTGATGTCTCAAAGTATTTTATTTTTTATTTTTTTTATACATATTGTATGAATATGAAATTTAGTACGTGCAAGATTCTCATTGGGGTGCACCTATAGAAAATATTAAAAATAATTTTTCGATAAAATATAATAATCAAAATACCCCTTGAAACTTTCAAAGGTGTTTTGATCATTTTATTTTATTAGAAATATTTGTTTTTATATTTTTTGCTAGTGCGAGTTTAATAGAGGATTGGACGTACAAACTTTGGTGTCAAAATAGTTTAGAAAAAAAATTAGAAATAAAAAAGTGTAGAGACGTGACATTGTGCTTGGGGTAATCTTAAGCTTCCATTCAAAATGGACGATTGGATAAGAGGAAGTATATAAATTTTATATTGTAGGAGAAGCATAGAAAGCTTGTCCTATTTTAAAAACTAAAAAGAATGGACTTGTATACAATGAAATCATTTACCTTTGGAATAGGGAGACTACAATTACTTACAACAATCCGATGTGAAATCCAATAGTCTGGGTGTGTCACAAAGTTCGAGAAAAATTATTTTAAAAATTGAACATGGTCAATGAAATAAATGCAGCCACCCAATTTCACATACAATGGTCAAGATTTATTTTGACCATCCAATGCTCAAAAAGTAATAAGACTGTCCATTTTGGATACAAGAAGGTTACAAGATTTTGGCCGTTTACATTTGAAATCGCATGGTTAAGAATATCCTGTAATTTCAAATTTAAATTAAAATTTTTCGAGTTTCATGACACACCCTAATTTATTAAATTTGTTAAAAATGATTGTAACATCCTCATATCTAAGATAAAGGGTCATATAACATATAATCCCTTTAGAAATATCCAATAGGTTTGTTCAAACAAGAAAATGGTAAGATTGTTCTTTATATTTCCACAAAAGATTTTATTTTCCAAGTTGATAACAAAAAGAAAGAAAAAACTGCCAATTATTTTTTGCAGTTATGCCAAAGGCAAATGACAAATATAAAAAAATTAGAAAGCAAAACACCAAAAAGATGAGAAAGTAACAAAACAGAAAAAAAAAAAAGAAGAAGAGACAACGAACGACGACACACGAACAACGTAGCGTACGTAAAGAAACGAAACGAAAACCAAAACCT